TGACTTGGTATTGTTTCTATTGTGCTATACTTTGACGGTCGTGGAAGGAAATGATTTTTTCTTGTTACCGGTTTAAAATTTAACGGTCGGTCTCCACCATGTCGCTCGTCTCCCTGAGGATTTTTGTTCTAAAGGGAACCGGTTCTTGGAAGACAACTGGCAGGATTTACAAAACAAGGATTTTTATGTGTTAACTTTTAAAAGGCTGAGAAGTTTGGAAAGGCTTACTTAAAAAGACGGAAAATAGGAATGTTACTTCCAACCCCTTCAATTGCCATTTCAATGTGAAATTACTACTCTTTTGAAACCTTTCCTTTAGGGTGTCGCCTTTGTTAATTTTCAGATAACAGACTAGGGCGAAGGCGCGAAGGTCATCGGACGACTGGCAGGGAAGGTTGTCGGACAATGACTAAGGGTGAGGGGGGGCCAGAATTTTCTTACCGATATTTGGATCAGAGCCTTTTTTTAGACCCTGCAAATCTGGCCTATATTTCGGCCACCGTATTTAAAGTGAACTATGTTGGTGCTTTGCTCACTTGGAAGAGCGCTAAAATGATAGTACTACCAAAGCCAGGCAAGGACATGACCTATAAGCCTTCTCCCGCGTTTTGGGAATATACTTGAGCGGATTATTCTGAAACGCATGGAGCCTTATCTGGAGAAGCTTCCTATTGAGCAATTTGGCTTCCGTCGCTCGCTCCACCACCAAGCAGCTTGTTAGGCTTGCTGAATACATTGGCAGCTCTCTACATAATCATCAGACTGTCACCTTACTCATGCTGGACGTGACGAAAGCCTTCGACCGCGTCTGGCATGAGGGGCTTATTTTCAAGCTTATTAACCACGGCTTTTCGCCTGCTCTTATCAGGATTATTCACTCCTTTTTGTGCGGGCGTAAATTTCACGTTTCTATAGGAAAGGACTGCTCGGACTTTAAGAGAATTAGGGCCGGCGTCCCACAAGGGAGTATTTTAGGTCCTGTCTTGTACTTATTTTATGTCGCAGATCTACCAAGTGCCAACCTGGATTATAATTATTTTCTTGGATGCTGACGACACTGCACTAGCAGTGAAGTCGGCAAACCCCAACTTTGCGATCCGCAAGCTGCAGAGCATTATACCGCAAATTGAGCACTGGTGTCGCAAATGGCGGATATGTATCAATGCGGATAAGTCCCAACTACTGATTATAAGGAGGAAGCACTCACGGACTAATATCACTGAAAAACTTATGCTCTTCAACACTGAGGTCCCCCGTGTTAACAAGGCAAAGTATTTAGGTATTGTACTCAACACCAAGTTCAACTGGAAGGACCACATTATGCACGTTCGGGGGAAAACTATCGGCGTGATTCAAAGTCTCACCCCTCTACTCAGTTACGATTCAAAATTAGACTTACGAAGAAAGAGGCATCTCTACATTTCGGTCATCAGACCCATTTTCTCATACGCCTCGCCTGCATGGGCTACTATGAGGACTAGGGATTTGGATAAACTGCAAATTATGCAGAACAAGCTGCTGCGTATTATGACTCATGCACATTACTACGTCTCAAACAAAACTCTACACACGGATCTTAAAATCGAGCCTGTCCTAAATTAACGATAATTTCTTTAAGAAAGCAATTAATTGCCCACACCTCAAGAATCTTAAAGTTCTTGATTATATCGTCTTAGAAGAAGGACCGTGAACTCAGACCACTGGCCGCCCACCTGTCCCGGGACGCTAACTTTCCGACGTAGCGTGCTTTCCGTCTGTACATATGTATATAGCACACCCTTTTAATTTAAATTTGTATTGTATCCTTATGTATGTAATGTTAAAAGTAGTACTGTATTTTCTTATTTAATCCCTTAATTTGTAACTCATTGTATCCATGTTTTGTATCTTAACATATTTTATCTCAGCTGTGTACTTGTTAGGAACTGTCAACTTAGGATTTTCTCCCCTGATCTTTTCGCTTCAACTGCCCTAGCACCTTACTGCTCCTAGGCTCCGCCACTCAGTTACTCTGCGCCCTCTCGGGCCAAGTGGCTTCTTGTTCACACCCTCTACCTTCCCACCTTAGGTCCCAATCACATTATGTTTCGGCTACGCGGGACTTGACGTCGAAAGGGGCAATTCTCAGAACCCGCACAATTCCAGGAAACACACGTAGCTAGGTTGCCATTCTCACTTACTACAAAGACTTGAACGCCAAACAGTAATCGATTATCGCTCAAATCGGGATCACGTGATCATTCAGAATCGGAACTTTCGTCTCATTGGTTATCTATCCGGGACCCGAGACATTTTCAGTGAGGTTTACAAAAATCCCGCGTAGCCGCAACATTGCTTCCATAGCTACGGGGGACTTCGTTCAGGCGGGGCTCTTTTTTGTAAGAATCCTCCCGTTTAAACCAGTGCTACCAGAATCTCGTTTCTCAGAAAGTCCCGTCTAGCACGGACTGTAGCCATGTGTGATAACCTCTTTAGTCCTCTGTAATCCCTCGTCCAGATAGTTAACGTCAGGAGCCCACTGGGCATATCTCGCTGAGCCGGTAACATCGCGCTTCGCGCGATAATTCGGCTATAAATGTTCGGTACTGTTCGGGTGCTTTGCTCAATATGGAAAAACTTCGTGCCTAGTTCGCTAAATTTCTTGGGCAATTTTCTTATCGTGTTAGAGCAAAATCGTGTTATAGGAGGCCGTGTTGTAATAGGGCTACCTATATAGTAATTTTCATTAAATTTTAAGTTTTCTGCAATAGCTTTCTCTTAAAATTCAGTTTCTTTATTAAGTGAAGTAACTTGCACTTTTGGAGACAAATCGATATTAATTTACACTCTTTCGTCACAAGTAAGATTTTAAATTTTTTCATATATAAGTAACGATTAAATGTAAATTTCCTTAGTTTTATATTGTTATCGTTTAAATAATTTATGTATCTATTTGAAAAATTAATACCATAATTATATTCTCTTAATCTCTCAAGTAAGAAATACTTTTGCATAATCGGTTTTCATGTTTTCTTAATATGCAAAGTGAATACAAGCTAGTTCTTTTAAAAAGTCCTTCAAAAAGGCATCCCTTCTCTTAGGTAGGCAGCCCTCATGTTTTTTGCCATATTCAAATAACCCAACCTTAACTAAGAAATATTTTTCTCTAACTAAATTTCTTAATAAGGAAATTGGGTTACTTGAATAACACAGCTTAAATACATAATATGTAAAAGCGTGACGTAATTTACGGGAAGAAAGATCTAATATACTAAATTTTAAAAATAATCTCAAATTTACATAAAGGAAACATGTAGAAAAGTTGAGTAAAGTAATACGCCATTTGTAAAATTATAATTTATTAGAAAACTTATTATATGTAACTATAGAACCTGGTTATGGAAGTATGGCATATGGTGACTTAATCCTCGAGCCGAAAAAATGCTATACTAACTCTTTGGTCAGCCACTCTGGACAACACTCGATATAGTAGAATGTGTATGCATTCATCGAAAAATATAGTTCCGCAATTTCTTTCGTATCACGCAAAGCAAAATCACGCTGTAAACTATCAGTATTTTAAATTAAAAAAAGAAATAACTAAAATCGCAATCTATTAGCGTAAAAAATAATTTAGTCGTAGAAAGGTTTATTGAAACATTTAACAATGAATCTGGAGAGCAAGGTCAGCGCGCATGAGTACTTCCCATTACAGAAGAATTGCGTGAGTAAGGTCAGGGTGGGGGAGACTGAGAAATTTCTTATGGTCACATTAAACATTTGCTGCGACGTGTGTGTGACATCTGTGCGACATTCACATTCACATCGCAATGTGACATTTCTGCGACGTTGTACCGTGGTCACAAACGTAATGTGAAGAAAATGTAACACTGAGATGTCACTGCAACGTTATAGCAACTAAGTGTGCTGTATGGGATATTAAAAAGATATTTTACTTACTTACAAACTACCATGAAAAGCACGTTTGACTGTGCATAATCGAGATTGCCAGATATTAAATATACATATAAAATTATAGGTTTTTCAAACATTCAAATTTTTTTAAACGGCCTCTTACTCGTATGTTAGAGATGTATTTTATAAATCTGCATTTATTACATTTTCTTTATTTATTATTCATTTTTCGTTCTACTATTTTAAACGGATACAACGATTATTTATAACTCTTTTAAATTGATAATTTTTAAAGTAATCGATTCGAATAAAGTAGTTAAATTTCGAATCGGGTGGAGCCAGCTCGTTGGGTGGAGCACACGATCTGGTCAGTTTGGCTTCCTTGATTTGCTTCCATCTATCCACAAAAGAATAAGTTAAATATACCACGAATACCCTTACTTTATGTCTATAAAACCACCGAATGATTTGGTTCCGGATTTTTTCCTCAAAGTATAATTAATAATTGAAAATAATTTGGCGGCACACTTCAAAAATTTCGAGGCACGCAAAAGGTCCGCGGCACAGTTGTTGAAAATCATTGCACTGGGTGATATTTTTCGAGAAACGAACTTCTTTCAGCATTGATTTAAACGAGAGGCTTTCTAGCTGAAATAGTCCCGATGGAAACGATGTGCCGGGCATTTGCGACTCTAGTGAAAATATCTCATTTGTAGCTTTGTCTCATACATATTTTCAGGGGCGTAGCTAGAGGGGGGGAAGGGGGGACAACTGATCCCGGGCGCAGAATCCAAGGGGCGCCAAATTGATGTTACGACATTTTAGAATTAAATGTTTTCCATCCTTGGCAAGCAGTAGGGGGCGCGAAATCTTCAGTTGCCCCTGGGCGCTGAAAACCTTAGCTACGACTCTGCACATTTTCGCGTAAATGAATCAGTCAGATATTCCGCAAGCGAAGATTCTGGAAATTTTGCTTTCGATTCAAGTCGCTGATAGCTTGAAGGTCTGGTAACAGTTTAGTGATTTAAAGTTCTGAACAGGAGATTTTAATGGTAGTAAATTAATATAAAATCACACAGTCTGAGGAAAAGAGGACCATTTATAAAAGTATTATTTTATTTGAAGAATGAGTTGAATGATTTGTGAAAGATCATATAAGTACAAAATGCTATTTAAAGCTTTAAGAATGACAACTGAACATCACTTCCCCGTTTCAGTTTATTGGTGTCATCGTGGTATAACTTTCCACGTCCATCGTCTGTGCTTTGAACTATATGGCTGTGACCTTTGGTCCTTACACGAGTATCTTACTTGATCCACAAGCAATGTAAATTTTGGATTATGTAGACCGTAGTAAATCAAAGTAATATATTCATTATGCATAGGTAATTCTATTTCTCCTGTAAAGCAAAATCAAAAATATAATTTAAAGCAGACTGTATTCCAGCATATATAATACTTGCTAAATCGATTAATAATTACTTAATTAATATTAGTATTACTAAATTATTAAAGTAATTATAATTATTATTAAAGTAATATTAATTAGTAATTAATATTACTTTAATCAGTATAATACGTAACGTATACTATTTCACCAATGAAATAAAATCAGAAACATACTTTAACCCTCTGTACTCGCAGTACTCTTCCTTCGCACAAAGTTTGGTGTTGTGCTGGTTTAAATTAGAGTCTTTGAGTTGACATGTAAACTTTTTAGTGCTTCAATTGATTTTGTTAGAGTGATTTGTTCAATAGTGTTACGAGGCAAACAAATTCGTATGTATAGCATTTTAGGAAAAGTATACACTGGAATAATTAATTTACAATAAATTCAATTACAATAATTTCACTAAAGTCATAATATTGTAAATAACAAAAGAACATTTTAAAAGTATGCCATAAAAGTAAATCGGCTTGGTTTTTTAAGGCTTTAAGATCTCTGGAGGGTAAATTCAACTTTTTTACAAGGGTTTTTTATTGAAGTCCTTTATGGAATTCAAATCAAGAAATTTGGTTGGCCTCTTTATTATCTTACTGACTCCAGTTTCAAGAAATTAATGAACAAGGTTAGTTTATTGTGGATACTTAAGTTTAATTTGGATATCTGTAGAAAGCAAGTCAGAAGTCTCATGACATAACATTTCATAGAGTAGACAGACCTCACATTGATATCTATATACGTAGACAGATTCTCTCTGTCGAACATGTACAGGGAAAGTGAGAGATATTTAATATATTCTAGAGAGAATATATTAAATAAGCTCTTTTTTCACCCATACTACTACTTCCATTTCGGTGCCATGTGTTTCTGGCTGTCTTCAGCTATAACAGTTTTTGTGTTAAAATGAACCTCGACTAAAGAGAACACAAACATATTGCTATACATCTCTGTTGTTTCCTGCGCTAATTCAGACGGACTGCTTTTGTTTTGAAAACTGAAATCATCAATGAAAGATGAACATGTACTCTTTGCGGCATAGAGATTTTTCTCATTAAACCTGTATTCAGTTTGCCACAGTGTAAAAGTTCACAGTGACTGCAAGTTCTAAACTCAACTGCTTAAAATTTAACTATTCATATTTAAAAAAAAAGTTATGGTCATAAACCCGTCTTGAGAAGTTTTTCTTATTCATCTACAAACATGCCTCATGTTCTTAGTAATATTTTCAAAATCTTTAAATTATTCTCAGGTAGCATTTGCTGTCTGTCTTAAAACAAAAATGGAAAATGATATTTCGGTGCCCTTTAAAACTCTTTTGATTAGATACATATCAAACTCAGAATTTCAAAGTTTTGCTGGGAAACATGTTTCGTGCAAGATAATTCCAGACGTTGGATAATGTCATGTTATTATTTAGATTCCATAAATAAATTGATTAACTTATGCATTCTATGAGAACATAAATCACATTCATTAGCTGTTTATAAATCATACTTGTTTTCATGCATCTGGAGATAAAGTACCGTCAATGTCTTTAAGTTCATGCTATGTATTATTAGTGTATTTTTATATACAACCACATCTTAAGTGGCTGTATATAAAAGGTTTGCTAATATTACAACAATTTCTATTTCTTTAAATTTTTATCTAGATATATTGTCACTTACAGATTTTATTGAAAGAGCTGTAAGGATCTTAAGTTTTACTAACGTTTATTTTATTTTAAATCTTTACTATCACTTCTTATTTTCTACTTCCGGCCAGAATTAAAAGCTTTAACTTATTTATGCAAATTTGTCTCGCGAACGCCAAGTACTTAAGTTGTGGCTTTTTGCCAAGCAAGAGAGAGGCAGGAGTTAGTAGAAGCAGGCCGCTTGCCTTAGCAGTTTTACTCGGTTGCTGGTTGCCTTCAAGGCCAGAGGTTTAATCCTCTTGATAATTTTAAACGTATCGTAGTGTTAACAGTTCTCTATACTACATACGGCCTTTCTGTTAATATACGGCCAATCTTCGAGTAGACTTGTTTATTAATCCAAAGTTAGTTTAGTTAGAATTTAGTTAATATTTTTATATTCTTACGTTCAGACCACAAGTGGTTGGTCTCTGTATTCCGAAGTCCGGAAATCATTGTAAAGAGAGAAAAATAAAGGGTTTCGTATACCCTTCCTGTGTATCTTGTCTACTTCCCACATTTATTGAACATAGCTTTAGTAAGCTCCCTGTTCCGAGTCAGGTCATTTAGTGTTCCCAAAGCAAGTAAGGAGGAACACTGAACATGATAGTGGCGTCCGACGAAGAAGAATAACCGTGGCCGAGTTTCAAGAAGAACCTGTGCTGCCTGCAGAAGCGGCTCAGAATCCAGAAATACCAGCTGCCGCCCTGGAAGGATTTGGTTACATCGTCCAAACCATGCGCGCATCGATGAAACCAGAAGCAACATTTAATGGAAACTCACCGGTAACCAGTTTTTTGGAAAAATTGGAGGACCACTTCATGATGTATCCCGTGCATGAGTTCCAGAAAGGCACCTTAGCTACCAGCGCTTTGAGGGGCCAAGCGCTTAATTGGTTCAAATGTATAGGCAGAAGTCTCTTGGGTCAAGCGGGAAGTCCCACCTATACTATAAAAGCCTTCCCTGTCGTAAGGGATCGTGCAAAATTAGAAACGGAACTTTTCAGCATATACCAGAAACGAATTGAAAATCTCTCAAGCTTTATTTTAAGAAAAATTCACGTCTTCAAACTCTTGTATGGAAACCGTCCGGATCCTGAGATAATTCAAGTGATTTTGCCGAGATTACTTCCCCAAGTACAAGACTTTATTGAATTAAGGAATCCGACTACACTGGAAAAGTTATTTGAGCTAGCAATCCAGTTTGAAAGTAGAAGAACGGCGGACATTGAAAGAAGACGCCAGTATGAACAACGAAACCAATTTGGTGCGCCAAGACCACAGCAAAGTCAAGAACACGGCTACGGAAGCAAAGCGAATCAGTGGGCAAGGAAACCCGAGTATCCAAAAACAACAGGCGAACGTCGACAGTTCAGTAATAATCCAGGAAAAAAGTCTGAAGGCCAGTGGAAAAAGAAGGAAAGCATGGAAAGGATTAAAACAAGATTTAAACTAAAACGGATTTCTGCTGACGGGAGGGTGCGGAAATCCGAAGGCCAAGAAAACCCCTCTTTCTTCAAGTTAAATACAGTAATGGTGAAAAATTTGACTCTTCCAAAGATTGAAGTGTTGGTGAATAACATCCCAGCCACCGCACTCCTGGATACAGGCGCGCAGTGTTCCTGTATGGCAGAAGATTTTTTTTAAGAAGTATTTTCGGAAATACCGCATATATAATTCGGATAATACGACAGTGTTAGCTGCGCAGGGAGAAAGATGCAAGTGCATAGGTAAATTACCGCTATATGTTCGTATCAAGGACGAACAAGTAAAGATTATGTTTTTTATAGTAAAAAATTTGCAAGCACATACATATCATCTTAGGGATAGATTTTCTTTCAGAGGCAGAAGAAGCAACGCTGGATTTTAACGAAGCGTCCCTTAAGCTGACGATGAAACCAGTTCCAGAAGAAAAAAAAGAACCACCAATGTTAAACCTTGACCACCTGCCTAAGGAAGAGCAACAAAATATCCGACAAGTGGTAAGTGAATTTGCTTCGTTATTTAGTGATATTCCAGGATTTACTCAAGTTACTAACCATAGTATCGACACCGGAGATTCACTGCCAGTTCGCCACAAACCATATCGATATGATAAGAATAAAGAAAAAATTATAGAGTGGCACATTAGAGATATGTTACGTAAAAAGATCATAACGCTCATCTCAAGTAGTTATGTTAGCCCGGTTGTTTTATGTAAGAAAAACAATGACTATCCATTAACACATCCAAAAAGGTGGGGTTTTGCGATTGACTATCGTAAATTAAACTCCATGACTAAATATCCGGTATATCCGTTACCTATTATTGAAGAAATTCTAAGGAACATAACTTCTACCAAATACATGACGACTTTAGACTTAACGACTGGTTATTTTCAAATAGGGCTTAGACCGGAGGATGTGCCCAAGACTGCTTTTATAACCAAGTCTGGCACTTATGCATTCCTGCGTATGCCGTTTGGCCTTTCAGGGGCACCGGCAACATTTCAGCGATGAAATGGACATTGTGCTAAGGCCTGTTCTTGGAAAGTCCACATTTATCTATTTTAGACGATATCATTATTACTAGTGATAATCTTGGACCAACATGTACAGGATTTAAGACAGGTGTTTTCATTATTAAATGAGGCCGGTCTAAAAGTTAATGTTCGAAAAGTGAAAATTTGCAGCCCCTGAATTAAAATACTTAGGTTACAAAATATCTCAGAAAGGAATCGAGACAGGACGAATCAAAAATAATCGCTGTGCAAAAGTATCCGCCGCCAAATACGGCGAAGAAGCTCTCTTCTTTTCTAGGACTTTGTTCATATTATAGGTCCTTTATAAAAGATTTTGCAGCTATTGCTGAACCATTGTTTAAATTAAAAAGGAAAAGGCAAGATTCTCGTGGACGGCCGAAGCCAATAGTGCTTTCGAAAAATTAAAGCAAGCATTAACGCAAGCCCCTGTTTTGAAATTTCCTGAAAAGGATGAGAATTTAGAAATTTCAGCGGATGCTTCGGATTATGCGGTAGGAGCGGTACTTTCGCAAAAATCAGCAGCCCGTGGCATTTTTTAGTCGAACTTTAAATCAAACACAAAGAAATTATTCCGCGACCGAGAGAGAGGCACTTGCAGTTCTGTTAGCAGTGCAAAAGTTCCGAGTCTATTTTGGAAGGGCGCCAATAACAGTGTATTCTGATCATGCGGCGGTAACTAGATTGTACTCAGGGAAAAACTTATCCCCAAGGTTAATAAGATGGGCACTCAAGTTACAAGAGTATAATCTGGTAATCAAGCACAC